TCGGATGGCCCTCTTCCACCTGGAGCCCATGAGGAGGTCCGAGTGGGATCACCAGTGTCAGCCCATGGGTGTGTCTAGGTTCTGCTCCCTCGTTGCTTGGGGAACGTCGTTTACCTGAGGTGAATTACCTCCTATCTGAAGGGCTTGGAATATCCGAGACAGAGCGTATAGTGCCACTATAATAGTGGTGGCTGAACACCCGTCCTAGGACGAAGTCCTGATCTATGGACCTTGGCCATTGGTGTCAATGTTGAGGACTATACGAGGGTTGTGGATAGGACACAATGCATCCGTTTTCTCTATGGATGACCCAAATTGGCTCACCCAATTTACAAACTCTACAGCACCGCTATTGATAACAACTATTCTCATCACCCGTCACATTACCACACTGAACGTCTCGGTATTTGGTTCCAATATTGTGTCGACTGTTTCCACTACGGTTAAGCGTCCGTCGCTATGATACGTCGACCAGCAGCCTCTCGCGGCGTCCATCGATCGAGCCCAATCGGCGTTATAAAGGTGAGGTGCAAACACCTGCGTTTTCATGAGGGAAATATTCATCACGCCATCTACTTATCCCTGCCTGTCTCCACTCCATAGTATAGTAAGGCTGTTCATGTATACGCTTTGGACTCGTTTTCTTTCACATTGAACTTCCTCTTGCCAGGCCCCTGGTTCCAACAAGAATACCCCTCCCCGAGGTGCTGGCCAAAAGGCTGCAGGCGGCGGAGGCGGCCTGGCGTTGCCTCTACAGAAGAAGTCCGTACAATAATCCGTTGTGTAGCCGTCTCGCACTATTCTGGTAGGTTCGGCCAACATCTACTGAAGAATCCAGGGATCCTTGACAAGATCATCGAGGCCAGCGACATCAAGAGCACCGATACCGTGCTTGAGGTGGCCTCTTGCATGTTGCTTCCAACGTGTGATGATATCTGTATGTCAGATTGGTCCTGGTACTGGTAACTTGACCATGCGCCTATTGGAGTTGGCAAAAAAAGTGGTGGCCTTGGAGATTGACCCTCGTATGGCTGCTGAGGTTAAAAAGCGAGCGCAGACGGCTGGTGAGAAACTCAGTTTTGGTATCACCGTATTGGATATCATAGGTCGGATGAATCTGAAGGTCATCGAGGGCGACGCTTTGAAAACTCAGTTCCCAGTTTTCGACGTTTGCGTGGCCAACTTGCCATATCAGATATCCAGTCCGTTTACCTTCAAGCTCCTGGCTCACAGGCCTGTCTTCAGATGCGGGGTATGGGAGCCTATAGGCTTCTTTAGGTCATCTTTGTCTGTGTATAGGTCATCATGTTCCAGAAGGAATTCGGCGAGCGTCTTGTTGCCAGAGTTGGAGAGGATAACTACGGTCGATTGGCCATCAACTGTCAACTCTTTTCCAAGGTGGCAGCGTCCTTACACTGTGAGTCTTATTGTTGATTCATTCAGGTCACTCGAGTGTGTAACGTCTCTAAGGGAAGCTTTAACCCCCCGCCTGAAGTCGACTCGATGATCGTTAAATTCGTAAGTACGTTGACTATCGAGTCGTTCTTATTGCTTTTAAAAGGTGCTTCATAAGGATCCTATCAATGTGGACTTCCCAGAGTTCGATGGACTCCTAAGAGTTGCCTTCACTCGCAAGAACAAAACACTGCATTCGTCGTTCATGAACAAGGCCGTGGTTAAAGTTTTAGAGGATAACTACAAAACCTATTGTTCTCTCCATAGCCAACCTGTGAGCTGGGGCCCCCAGCCTGGGGGACAGATAGTTGCAAGTTAAGAATCGTCTCGGGCTTGCAGGTTCAACACCAAGGCCCGGCGTTCAAGGCCCACGTCGAGAACACATTGCGGGCGTCGGGACTGGCAGAGTCACGCGCCATAAAAATAGATATCGACCAGTACCTTGCCTTACTGTTAGAGTTCCACCGCAACGGTATTCACTTCGTGAACGTCTCGGATCCCTCAGCGACCAACAAGGCCAGCACCGACATTTTCTCTATGGAAGTTGACTCCTGAGTTCTACCGCTTCACGTACCAGCCTGTAACGT